TTTTTTGCATTTCTTATGGTTCTAGGGGCCTCATATGCAGCCTATAAATATATAGTGTGACATGTTTATGCATTTCAGTTCTCTATTATGTTTTGAAACTTTATTTGCTATTTTTTCCTATCGCTTCGCATGATTATTTTTTAACAATTTCTTAGTGATTTCTTCCTCAGAACTTCCCCTGTGCTTTCGTTCTTTTATTTCTCTTTCATGGATGCCATGTGCTTTGGAAGCTTCGTTAGACCAAGTTAGGGACTAGGAGTTCCCTTTTTGTATAAGAATTCCATGTGGGGGGGCGGGGGGCGGGGTCAGGACGTTAGAGATGCTTAGGTGGGGTGTGGCCTAAACAAGGTTGGGGACCGCTGCTCAGAGGGCAGGGCAAGGCCGCGGGCATCGGACACACTCCCCCACGGGCTGTGCCCTCCCCGGAGGCTGAGGAGACAGAGGTCTGGGGACGAGGCAGAGAGAGCTGGGCTGGCCGCGCCCCACACCCTGCCCCCCGCAGGACGTCTTCAGCAAGTCGGACCCCTTCCTGGAGCTGTACCGGGTCAACGACGACCAGAGTGAGCAGCTGGTGTACCGGACGGAGGTGAGGGCCCTGCTGGCCCTGGTCCCGCGGCCTGCCCACCGCACCCACGTCCCCTGCAGCCCCGCAGGCACGGGGATGGAAGGACAGCTGACCCGTCACTCCCTGCGTCCCCCGAACCCCAACACCCTCCATGCCCTGTGAACAGGGGCCTGGCGGGTGGGCGTGAGCCGGTGAGAGAATGTAGGGGCTGTTCTGCTGTCAGGCCCGGCAGGTGACCGCGGGGAGGGGCATTTTCTTTCTAGATAAATTAATTTCAGCTTTTTTAAATTATTGGTTTCAGCCGAAACTTTGGCTCAGGCCCTGGTCCCGCGGCCTGCCCACCGCACCCACGTCCCCTGCAGCCCCGCAGGCACGGGGATGGAAGGACAGCTGACCCGTCACTCCCTGCGTCCCCCGAACCCCAATACCCTCCATCCCCTGTGAACAGGGGCCTGGCGGGTGGGTGTGAGCCGGTGAGAGAATGTAGGGGCTGTTCTGCTGTCAGGCCCGGCAGGTGGCCGCGGGGAGGGGCATTCTCTTTCTAGATAAATTAATTTCAGCTTTTTTAAGTTATTGGTTTCAGAGAGGAAGGGAGAGGGAGAGGGAGAGAGAGAGAAACATCCATGATGAGAGAGAATCATGGATCGGCTGCCTCCTGCACACCCCCCACTGGGGATCGAGCCCGCAATCCTGGCCTGTGCCCTGACGGGAATCGAACCCTGACCTCCTGGGTCATAGGTCGGTGCTCACCCCCTGAGCCGCCGGCCGGGCTCTTCCAGCTTCTAGAATAGTCTGTTCAGGAAGAGGAGCAGGTGGTCCAGGGACCTGGCGGAGGTGATGGAGGTGTTTCCCAACGGGGTGGGACCCCAAGACTCCGCTCCGGGCCTGAGGCTCACCCCCTCCCGGGCCCCCAGGTGGTGAAGAACAACCTGAGCCCCGTGTGGGAGCCCTTCAAGGTGTCGCTGAACTCCCTGTGCAGCTGTGAGGAGACCCGGCC